CCGCCTGTGCAGATGGGCGTTGTGGCTGTGCAGTTGCAGGGGCTGTATAAAAGCTCTGCCTCCGCCAGGCTCTCCAACCACTTCTCTCGACGCCTCCTCCTTGGGCAACAGGGTAAGTGTGCGGGCACTTAGCCTCCCACCCCCGGGCTCCCTCGGGGCCGCCCTCCAGCCCGCAGAGAGGCATTTTCTACTCCCTCGCCCTCTCTCCCCTCTTGTAGAGCACCGTCCATCCCAGCAGCAAGATGTCCTCCTACGACCTGTGCGCCCCCGCCACCAGCATCGCCTGCCCCCAGCCCATCGCTGACAGCTGCAACGAGCTGTGTGCCCGGCAGTGCCCCGACTCCACGGCCCTCATCCAGCCGCCTCCCGTTGTCGTCACCTTCCCCGGCCCCATCCTCAGCTCCTTCCCCCAGCAGGCCGTCGTGGGCTCCTCCGGGGCACCCGCCTTTGGCGGCTCCCTGGGGCTGGGGGGCCTCTACGGCGCCGGGGCCACGCTCGCCTCGGGGGGCCTCTGCACCTTTGGCCGACCCTACGCTTCGCCCTCCTGCAGCCCTTGCCCCTTGCCGCGCTACTCCAAGAAGCCGTGGGGAACCTGCGGGCCCTGCTAAACTCGGCCCCCGCTGCTGCCACCCAGCGCACGCAGGACCCCGAGCGGCACCGCTGCACGGCTGAGCTTGGGGCCAGGGGCGTCCCCGAGCAGCGCTGAGCACCGCTGCGAGTGCCAGATGCCCTTGGCGCTTCTCTGCCCTTTGCTCCTTTGCTTTGCTGCGCTCCTCGCAGGGCCTCTTGCCCTGCCTGCCCTGTGCCTGCACCTAGAAGTCGCTGCGGGGCCGATGGGCCAAGTCATCAGGCGGTGCCGCTCAGGACAGGAAGAGCAGCGTGTGGGGGAAGGCCTGCTCTGCAGAAGATCCCCCTTCCTCCCGCCTGGCGTGCCAGAGCCAGCCGCCCCGCACCTTGCAACCTGCCCTCTCTAACTCTCTCCTGCCCTGGCGGGCACAATAAAGATTTCTTGCATGCAGCGAGTGTCTCCCTCCCTCCTTCCATCCACGGAGTCGGCAGGCGGCGCGGGGCAGGTGCCCGGCCAGCGGTGGGAGGCGAGAGCGGGCTCACAGGGAAATGGTCTTATATTAGAAGGAAATTAATTCATGGAGATAAGGGTAATAACGAATATGAAGTTGGGCATTTAGACTCCACAAGCTCTTTCAACAAATATTCATATAGACCTATAAAAATATGGATATAGATATATATATACCATAATGTTCCAATATTACATTGTGATGGCTTATTTGCTGTTCATGAAGCTGCAGAAGAAGTGATGTTACTGCCTCACTATCCCAAATTTTATACTCAAAGGATTTGCTACGTTATTATACTCTAGGAATTTGTAACTCTCTGTGGATCAAATACAAATATGTATTATGGAAGATCATCTTTTGCTTAGTATTACTCAACATGATCCAGCTCACATTATTATTTTACACCCTTTTATGGTACAGGGAGATTAACTGTTAATCCCTGTAAAGGATTTATTTACCTGAGATTGCTTTCATTCAGATATCTTGGATTCTCCCCATCTTTTACAAGCGTAGTATCAGGTCTGTAGTAAAAGAATATTTCGGCATGCTCTTCATCTTGTTTTTACAATTTCTGATACACTGCCAGTACTCTCTGGTACTCTGTATTTACAACAGATTCTCTCTAGAACATATAATCTCCCTGTACAAAACAATCACTTATTTGGAGCTACACTGAAAATTTTTCCTTTTCTTCACATTTTTTTGTGATTATAGTCCATATAATATCAGACTTATTCTCCATAGTCAGCAGCTGCATGGCTTTACACCCTGTTACTGAAGATCTTCCCATTAGTGTTATTCCCATCTGTTAAGCCATCTAGTTTTTCCAGTCCTTGATTCCCTTCTGTTAAATGGCACTTAGCTGTATGTTATCTTACATACTTAGCTGTATGTTATCAGCATGTAACATGGAGTGCTCCCAAATTATGTGCCAGCGTCATTGATACAAGCAGATAATTAGAGGTATTCCAAGACTGATCCTTTTGTAACCTGCCTGGTAATCTCCCTTCATGCCTATAATTCCCGTATAACATTAGATACTGATGGCACGAATATCTATATCTGTATCTATATCGTTTAGCTGTCAGACATGAGCTCACCTTGCACAGGCATCTAACCCAAATAGAAGCTATATAATCATGTTAGCTGGGTGCTAATAGCTCATGCCAGGGCTTGTTCTCTTAGGCTAGGAACTTGCTACTTGATACAACAACGCATCCAGCTGAGAGCTGGCTGCCATTGTCTCATCAAGAGAATTGGTGGAAAAGTTGGAGCTTGGAGCTCAGTTGCTCGGCTATGATCAAGTATAAATAAATACAAATAACATAAAGTGTCTCTTAGAGGCTCTGCATCAGAGTACTGAGCAGTGCAAAAGCAAAAAGGAAGAGAAATCCCTTTCTTGTAAAACTGTCCCAGGAAGTGCCCTCAGCTGAACCTATGTTGGGGAAAGAGGGCTTTGCTCAGTGGCCCCTGAGCCGCACAGGTGCAGGGCAACAGCACTAGCTTTTCCTTGTCTGAATATTCTGAATAAGTATTTATTAATGGGTAAACATAAAATAGCAACTTCTTAAAATAAAAGTAAAATTCCTGACTAACATAAACTGTCAGAATATTGTTGATTTCAGCTCATTACTACTTCCAGGACAGGCAATCTGACAATCTTAGTTACATTTGGAGGCAATGAAATTACATGTTAAAATCTATCTCCCATTTCCATAAGACTGACTTAGCTTATTACTTTCTATGACACAGTGCTCCTTCAGTGCAGGAAATGATACACTTACGCATGCAGGTTTTCTTTGAAAGAATCCCAGTGAAGTAATATATAGAGAAAAGACTTTAAAGTATCAGTTCCTTTTCTTTTTACTTCATGCAGCTGACTTAAAAGACTTGGCCACAACTTCCCTGAAGCAACAATTATCGTAGCAGTGTTTAACAATAAAGAAGAGGTAGCTCCTGATCTTTACTCATCAGATGCCTATCTGAAAAATTGTCTTCCATTGTTTTTCTTCTTCCTATTGTTTCTTTCCTGCATACACTTTGAAAGAACTTCAGGCCAAGTTTTTTACTTTAGACTGGAACACAGTGCCGTGATTTCTAGTGCATCATCTGTGAGGACGCAAAAATAGGTGGAACGCCAATACTAAACTCTAACTACAGAGAGAAAAAAAAAAGACTACCTACAAGAAGCCCAACTACTGGAATATTTAGCACAGGGACCATCTGAGGCGATAATTTCAGCTCAGTAGTGATGAAAAATTGGGCAAAGAGGCTTTCAGTAAAACCCTCCCTCTCTCCCCCCAGGAGCTCTGGATGCAGGACAGGGTGGTAGCAAATCTCAGAGACACAATGGTTGTTTAAGTGGGATAAAAGACTTCCATGTTTTTTCTTAATTTTGATGTGCCCTCTAAGCATATGCCTTGGAAATGACCAGGAGAGATGACTAACCAACAGAAGGAACTTTTCCAGTCCGTTTCAATGGGTAACATAAAGTGGAGCCCAAGCAGATTTTCATAGGCAGGGGCTGAGGTGTACCAAGCACAGAAGGCTTTGCACCAGCTGGGGATTGGGTGGAGAAGCATCGCCTCGGCTGCCTGCGCCGGAGCAGAGAACAGAGCAGCTGAGGGGCGGGG